ATATAATGTTGCCAGTTTCACCAACTGGATGAATTCGACAAGCTCTGTCAGATTTATAAAACCAAGTCCTTATAAACTGAATCCTTATGCTCATGAATGTTTATGTCTATACCTATGCAAGCAAAAGGTATGCGAATGTGTTAGTTGCCATTGCGTGTCCAACCTGATAGCTCTTGGCACTATATATTTGATAATATTTTTGAACAAGGCATACCCTTGCTTTATAAGTTTTCAAAAGTAAAGCAAAGAAAGGAAAATGGGTGAAAAAAATCATTTTACTTGTGAGCATAACCTTTGAAGCAACAGTAATAATCTTTGGGCCTATCACTAGGGGGCAGCAAAGTTCAGGACATTGGACTGTGCAGCTGAAACTCTGGATGATTCCTGGAGGGGAGAGTGGATTGTGTGTGTGTGTGTGTGTGTGTGTGTGTGTGTGTGTGTGTGTGTGAGCCAGACAGGAGCTGTGGGAGAGTGTGGTGACAGCTCTGCCTGAACAAATCAGAGGCAGTCTTCCTTACCTTTCCTTACCTTCCTCTAAGTAAGGAATGCACTTTGCCTGAGCCAGGCCCAAATACCAGAGGGCAGACAATACACTGAGATGAAAAGATTCCTGCTGGAGTGGGATTTCCTTGAAGATGAGGATCCCATCTTTTGAACCTTGGTACACTTGGGTGCATGTGGACACTTGATAAATATTTGTTAGATAGAAGAAAAGATAGGAAGGAGCAGAATTCATCATATTTGACAAAATTCTGGGAAAACAAGGAAGCAGCTCCTTTTGAAAAAGGTACACCCGCCAGAAGACTTTGTGTGCAAATCCAGGGCGGGATCTTGGCTTAGCTGAGATTTGCCCATGCTGGAAATATGTTAATACCTGACCCATTTGGAGTCTAAATACTTAGTGTAGGATAGTGAAATGAAGCACGTCTTGTAAGTGTAGTTTAGCCCAGTACCTGGAAAACGGTAAATGCTCAGTGAACATTGAGTGTTATTACTATTACTGGCACCTGTGGTGTCGTTCACTCTCAGTTAAAGTGTGTTGTACAGCTCCTGGTAAAGATTCGTGTAAGGATGGTCTGTGAGAAGGAACATGGCTGACTGAGTACTTCTAGGGTTGCCACTGTGAGCCTCTGACATCTGCCTTTGTTAATTAGCATCAAGGGTGTAGTGCTGAGAAAACCTGTTCTCTAAAACCTTTGCTGTTTGAAGTCAAATCAGTAAGATGGAACGCCCCACTACTGCTGCAAGATCTCAGCCATCTGGGTCATTTGGACATGGAGAAGTGGTCTCAGTTTGCAACCCAAGTGCAGAGCTCCAGATCTGGGAGTTTTGGACACAGCATTGCACATTTATCTTCCCTGTTTG